CAATATAATGTAATAATATTTTAGCCGCTGGCTTAGGTCTCAGTCTTAGGTACCGTAAGCGTAGCCTCCAACTGCCGTCTTTGCAACTACCTTGTGCGGTATAGAATAACAGGCTTATCTTTATCTACACAATATTTCTTTACTGCGTTAGCTTTAGCATTGAAATCGATAATACGGCTTTTAATATTGTAGCTGTTATCGAGAACTAACCTTATTTCGTCATCCGGTGTTTGAACATGAAGTTTCTATTTGAAGTCTGGTACCGATCTGGTATTGGTGTACATAAAAGTTTCATAGGCAGCTGGAATTCTCGGTAGTTCGAGTTATACACTTCAAAACTAATTTAGTTGAACAGAATTTCCTTGCTTGTTAATACAGATGGCCCACATTTCCATTTGACCTTAGAATAAAATAGAATTGGATATGAATTGCTTCAACTTTATGAGCACTCAATTTCAATTCTGTATAGTGAATTGCGCCGTTACTGAAAATAGCCGGCACATATCTGAAATATCGCGTTCATGAGATCATTTGTGAGTAGGTAACCTACAGTATGTGTATAAGTGGTATCGAATGGGACGAAAGTGGGTCAAATAGCATGACGTCGGCGATAAACGAGCCCTCGTTCATTATCAATTATGTGCATGGAGGCACGTACGTTTCACAACGTGGCTAAACTTATGCCCTAACTGATACGAACCATGATAATATCAGAAAACCGGCTACAAGACAATTGAAACCGCAAAATAACAAGCGACCAATGAACATGAACAGAAGCAGGCTCTAGTATAAATGAATGTTGAGTACCAACACCTGAGTGTCGTCCGTCAGCTGTAAGGTACGCAATCAAAATACCATTGTTTGCGAACTCTATTGAACGAAGCCAGTCCTCCAATCGACGGGGTGTGGCTTTGTATGTAGCTAGCTATGTAATGTATAATTCATCAGGTGGCATCTGCCATGAAGGAAGTAATAAAATCTTACGTGTGTATACGTATAGTGGACGTAGGACCTTCACTAGCTTGTTATATAGTGCACACAATTGCAGTTTGTGTTGCCGTGGAGCCAAGGCCGTGATGCAATAAGTAAGTACAATCAGGTGAATTGTATGCGTTCATGTTGAATGCATCACATGATTGCATCACTCGTACTAAAATAATAAAACTATTGATAGGCACCTACTATACGTATGGTACAACTGTTCGTAGCCAAATATCGACCACGTGGTATGTGCTCCTTCATTGATAACTCGGTCCAATTGTTTAAGCGTATACCTATTTGTTTGTTGATACATTCATATGACAAACACTAAATTCTTTTAATTCGTTGCCTGACCTCGTTTTGTCTTAGTCACTTTAATTACGTAAATGTTAATTTCCGGTAGTAATCAGGAGCACAAGTGTATGACTTTGACCTTATTTCTCAGCACCACGTGAGCTCCATTGAATCTTGAGCATCCCTCGGTAAATAGGTTTATTATTGTGCGTATGTTCCCCGAGGTCGGGTGTTCCGTGGGAAAGTATTGCGAGTTCATTATGTGCAGCCGGATCACGTGTCGCGGCCGCGACGCACCTAGCGACTGCTTACTTCAGTTATGTAAAGTGAGTGCTATGACGACCGACGAATGAACTCTATAAATAGCGGTCGATCCGTCCTTGAGCCGCCGCGACTGTGCAGAACTAGGTCAAGCCGAGCTGCCTCATGCCAGTGTCCTCTCCCCGCGCCCACCAGCACACCCGTCTGAGCACCGCTCGTTGTTCACTGCGACGAGTGCTTCGCTAAACACCCGAACACCGCACACATTCCAAGCTTCCTGGTTACTTTCTGTTAGTTTTGCTGTACTGCAGAAATAACCCCCTTCATTAAACGACAAGTTTATTGTTTGAAACTTTAATGTTGCTTTAAGTTTAAAAGACTGAATTATGCTATTAAACTCTCCAAACTATCTATCATTCAGCAATTTAAGATAAGACAGTCGTTTAAATTGGTGCAAGTATTTCGTTTGTATACGTAGGGCTCTATACAATGCCCTTACCTGAGTGAACTGATAATGGCCAAGGTTGGGCCCGGGCAGGTAGCGAACCGGATTATAATCGATCCAGTCGTTTACTCAGGATATTTATTTTTCCATACCATCATGTGGTACATGTATTATTGTATAAAGTAAACAGATGTTCAGATGAGAAATTTACAAGAAAGTTATAAAAAGCGTGGATTCGACTAGTCACGGTTTTTTTTAATCAAAACTGGATAGCAAACAATCGGATGGTTTATAAAACGAACGCGCGTTGTAACAGCGTGATGTTGAGTACACTTTAGGGAACAGAGTGTATAGTTCCCTAAGATCGGAAAAGGAGGATCCTCGGACCAGGCGAGGTGATCGTGCCTGGCGGGCTTTCTGCCCAACAGTTGTTCGTTGGGATTTTCTATCCGTGTTTATTCGCTTGTAAACTTTGCATGTGCGATGTAGGATTCTTGTGACGTCATCCGTTGACATGTGGCACGCGTCGCCACATCACTTCCTCCCAAGACCGGAGGTCGATTCCGCTGAGACTGCTGTCGATGCTTGAGATGAGCGGTGCCAGAGCCAGTATAGAACGTCCCTAGTTCCAGTGGGTCGGAACCGTGCCGCTGAGTGCCCAGTGAGTCGGGTAAGCGGTGCAGGGTGAAACTCCAGTGAGTCGGAGAGATGAGTTCGCAGTGTCCCACGGTGAGTCGGGGAAGAGATGCTGCGAGGGTAGGTGCGTAGTGGCCGGCATCTGCGTTGACGGGAGGAGATGTCCTTCAGAACCGTGTGCAGAAGTGCTGTGCCTAGACGCTGGTGAGGCCGTAGGGAAGAACCAGGCTGCACAACTTCGTTGCAGGTAATGGTGGTCCCTGATGAGGCCGAGGATGCTGGTTGGCTGCGACTTGATTACCGCTCAGCGGAGAAATGATGAATGAGAGGGATGGCGATACGGATGACGGTGCTAATCTGCTCCGTGAAGTGAAGGTTGTTTCCAATCACGTCGGGGTCACCACTTTAGGGAACAGAGTGTATAGTTCCCTAAGATCGGAAAAGGAGGATCCTCGGACCAGGCGAGGTGATCGTGCCTGGCGGGCTTTCTGCCCAACAGTTGTTCGTTGGGATTTTCTATCCGTGTTTATTCGCTTGTAAACTTTGCATGTGCGATGTAGGATTCTTGTGACGTCATCCGTTGACATGTGGCACGCGTCGCCACAACACTATGTCAGCGAGTACTCGGGGCATATTGACATTACGTAGTTTGATATTTGTAAAAACTTTAAATAAACACTATATAGTATATTATGATCAATATTGTTATCGTGACAGTCGTATACATGTCGTATTATCGTACCGCGTGGGTGGGTGTGAAGTAGTGAACCATAAACCTACTCGGTGATATCGCACAAAGACCAAAGTGTTATCTTTGTATAGGGGCACATTGGGCACTCGCTGCCCTATTATACAATGCCTTATCGTACTACATACATACATAGACGCAAAATACTACTTGGGAGTCACTACAGTGAAATTTTTATACTAACGTAATTCATTGTTAAAATGTTAATGGTACTTCATTAGCATTTTTATCATATCGCAACGAAACTAATCCAATCAAGGTCACAGCATGATGTAATTATTGTTAATTTGAAGTTTATTACGTATGTATGTATAAGTCTGAAAATCATTTAGTAAGTAGGTACGCAAGTAATTAGGGTTTATTTAAATTGTATACTGGTTAAAACTACTATTTTCGTGAAGTTCCACTGATGTTCAGCTGGTATAGATAAACTGGTGTGTCGCGTGATAACAGGCAATCATAGTTCAATTGTAAAAACAATGGGTGTGAATAAGAAGTGGAATATAATATTATTATATTATGTATGTCGAGCATCGCTGGCGGCAACACGGTCGGTGAAAGCTCTCTATGGCCCGTCAGTGTGATGCATATGTGTGTGTGCGTATAATCGTCACTTAATTTTAGTTGTGGGCTTCGGGGTGAACTCGGCGCAGCACCTGTCTCGCTCCTTTGTTTCGGCTCCCAAATGTCAGCGGAGGTCATCTAAATACAGGCGTTATAGGCATCGGATTCGGACGACGATCGCTGTCTAGACGTTGTGTTGCATCGTCCGATCGATTGCACGACCGAGCCTCAGACGGTCATCGACCCCGCGGGCGCATCGGTGACGTTACGCTCCGGTGATGCGCTCCTCAATAACCTTACGGATATTATGCTTCAATTCCGTATTTTATTTCTTACGCACCGTCATGTCTTCGCCCACTCTTTATCGTGAATTCTTAGAAACTAATTACACGCATTTTTATTCTCTTTTTTATGATTGCTTCTTATATTTAAGTACTCAGCCCAAGTGGGCACGTAAGTAAGTAGATATTTACTGCTTCAAAAACGACGTCTTTTGATGGTTTAACCGAAGCCATAACGCGATACGAATCGAAAAAATATTAGAATAGGTAGACTGAAGTTCTGAACAGAATGAATATCTCTACACAGGTACTGCTATCATTTGAACGGAACGAAAGAGTAAAGTAAAAACTCCGGTATTGTTGTTCATCCGCTCCCTTCAAAACATTTCCAGAGAAGTAGACCTTTTGATGATTTTTTTGTCAAAAAAGTATTCTTTGAAGATCACATTACGTTTTTGTTTTCTTGTTTTGGTATCGTATGTAAGTACGCGCTGTTGTTATGATAACTGTACACGTTCTTTATACTATTTATTTACAATTCGTCTGACCTTGTACGCCAGTCAAGTTCAGGCTGTAACTTTGACATTGTTCTCTAGTCGGTCGTTCGGTACAGCACAAAGTCCTTTGTAAGGCTTTTTAAATGTAAACGATTTAGTTTATTGCCTGCAATCTTTTGTCTCTTATGTTGACTTGTCTGGATTCAGCGCAACAATAGCCCGTAATAAATTTCTTGTTCCCCTTCATAATATTGGAGGCGAGGGTATGCCGATAGTTAATGTTTTAATGGCAGGGCTACAAAGGCGTTGCAAATGGCACTGTACGTGTCGCCGGGGTTCACCCGCGCGGCGGACGCGCACCTGCGGCTGGCGCTGATGTTCAAGGCGCGCCGCCACTGGACCATCGCCGCCGTCCACTTCAGGCGCGCCCGCCTCGCACCACACCAAGACGCCACCTTCACCCGGCTCGAGCTCAGCTTCCACGCCGCGCACCTACTTGAAGCGAGAGGTCTGAGAAAAGCAGCTAGAGATGCATACGAAAGGCTACTAAAGGAACCTCAGTTGTCCTCCACCTTAAAAGCCGATGTTTGCAGACAGCTGGGTAAGTGACACCTCGATGTTATTGAGTTATCTGCATTTGAAAGCAATTACAAATTGGTCGTGGCCAATAACGTTGTGACTGTCTGTGTAGGATGGCTATACCACCGCTGTGTGTCACTGGGTGAGCCGGCAGCTCGCGCGCGGGCTGCTATCTGGTGCTTGCAGCGAGCTGTGGCGGCTGAGCCAGAGTCAGGGGCGGGACTCTATCTACTCGGACGGTGCTTTGCAGCGCAAGGAAAAGTACACGATGCTTTCATTGCATACAGGAATTCTGTGGAAAAGTCCGAAGGAAATGCTGACACTTGGTGTTCCATAGGGTAAGAAGTGTTTTTAGTCATAATTGTGTTACTTTTAATGGAATTGTTTTTAGGTACATATTTTCATTTGTTGCTATTTCTCCTTTGCAGCGTTTTGTATCAGCAACAGAACCAGCCCATGGACGCTTTACAAGCATACATTTGCGCGGTACAACTAGATAAGGGTCACTCTGCGGCGTGGACTAACTTGGGCAGTTTGTATGAAAGCTGTCAAATGCCCAGAGACGCGTTCGCGTGTTATACAAACGGTGGTGCAGCTGCAACTGCATCGCATTCCGCTTTACGACAAAGGCTCGCTTTCCTGAGAGCACATTTGGCTCATGCTCCAATGCCTTCTGTTACGGGAAAGTAAGTTGTGCCGTTTATATTATAAGCACGTACAATATAACTGGCGTTATGTTTAAAAGATTTCTGATCTGATGGCATATATTCTGCAGGCGACGCCAGCTGCCATCAATCGAGGAAGCTTGGAACCTGCCTATATCCGCGGAAATGTCTTCCCGCGCGCCTAAGTCAGCACCCCCGCCATACCCAGGGAAGAGACCCGAGGAGCCCCCGCCACTCACACAACACCAGTTGCAGACTCTACAGTACTTACAGAAGAACTCCAACAATTTATCACCTCAGCAACAAGTACTTATCTAATTATCTAGTATAGAAACATAACTTTTGATTCCCAAACAAGTTGATCAACAATGGGACTGTCCAGATTGCACCAATCATTTTAAGAATTTGATTTCGTAATAATATAAGTGTTAAGTAGTGAGAGAGACTAAGTAGACTAACTAGTTTGTGTTCGTTGTGTTATTAAATAGCTTGTACTAGTGTTGCTTTATCGAGATTGCAGTAATGTAATATTGTTTTGCAGGCTTTGATGCAGCAGTTACTGACGCAGTATCGACAAGCGCAGGCGGCGCGAGCGCGTGCGGTTTGTACTAACTTTGTTTCCCCTTATAACGGCGGCAGGTTTTAGCATAATGTGTAGGGTTTCAAGAAGTCTTGATCGTGGTGTTAATTGATTTTTGTTTTACAGGTGACGAAAAGCGAAGGTAGCGCCACCGGCGGCGACAACGCTGAGTCGCTCGCCGAAGATCTGTTGAAGAGGTTCTCAGATACTCAACCCGAAGTTAAGAAGGAGCCTATCTGTGGTAAGTTCAGCTGTGATATTCTGTTGTATTGACTCGAAGAGCTGATACGAAACATTCATAAAATCTTAGTTGAAATAATATCCAAACTAAGTTACGCATATTGTGTTTCAATCGTTAAAACATTGTACAGATTACCGTCGTGGGTGTTTAAAAATGACAAAAGTTGGACAGCTCAGCAAAAAGTGGCCAAGCGTTTGTAGGACAACATAAATTCCAACGAAAATTCTTTGTATCTCAGCCGAGAACGGTTTTATTCGTTTTGTTCATACAAACTCGTGTAAATCCGTCTGCACAGTAACATAAGTATTTTAAAATATTCACCTCAAAGATTAAACACAAACGATAGCTAGCCGGTGAAGAAATTCTAAGACTTTATTTTATAGATTTTTATGAACAGGTAAATAGGTAGAATATCTATAGGTAAATGGATATTATATTAAGCACAATAATTTATTGTTACCACTGCAACTAAAATTTTGATAAAAATTATGTATATGTTTATATGCGACTCGATTATCGACTCGTTATGTTAGATTATGTAGACTGACATAAAGTTTCGCAACCTGCTTCATCTGAGTCCTGACTACTACCTGCCTAACTTGAACAAAAAACTCGCGGATTCACGATCCACATCTGTTAGCCCGCAATTTCCCTTAAGCTCTGTTAAAGCTACCATTATACGATATCCTTAAGCTATTACGCGAGAATATCGGAATAATGCGGCCCTTATGTTCCACTGACAAAGCACTGCCGCGCAAAACTTCGCGATTTACAAAAGGCTAAGGTCGTCTTTAAGAATGATTGAGCTCCTTTGTTGTCCGCTAAAATTTCTATGCTTTTAAATAGAATGCATTACTGCTCGTTTTATTTAGAAATATAAGATTTCTGCCAGTAGTGGGATTATTATTTTTATTTAAACTCAGTACCTGTATCAAGCTTCACGTTCGCTTATTATTAATAGGTTGGACTTTTGTGAAGCATTTTGCGTACTGTACCTATGAATCATGTCGATTCGTTATTATTTGTTAGTGCTCCTCAAAGAAGTCCTTTGGTACTTTGGTCTTACTAGTTACTACTATTACATGTATTAAACACTCTTCAAAGAAAAGTATAATTAGCTAATTCATTGACACGTTTATTTTTCTATAGCCTTTTGGTTAATTGTCAATGTCATTACGAGTTTTAACTGATTCGTGAAATCACGGTATCTCACATTATTTAAATGAAATTACGAAACCATTATAATATAAAGTATAATAAAATTAATAAACAAAGTCAGTACAAACAATATTTATCGATTTATGTATTTATATAATGCGGTGATTTCCCGACGTGTTTGATTTTTGAGATCAGATAACCGATAACTATTTTTGTACATGCCTATCGGTGTGAGAGTGTATATTTCTGAGGGATTCTATTTATCGTACTGGCCTTGCCATTCTGCCTGCTTATTTCAACGATAGGACCAACATTTTACGTTTTTATTTAATCATCAACCGCGGGTTTAACGATACAATATTAAACGACTTCAATCTGAATTATGGTTTTAATGTTGCGTAACCATGATGGATTAAATTTGTAGTGTGCACTACAGTCTCAGTTTCCTCCAAATAGTTAATTGGTTATATTTTTACAGCAGATAGCTCCAGTAATGCAGGCAGTAGTGGTGACACGATGCTCGGCGGGCGACAGCCTGTCGTGAAACTGGAGCCCCTTAAGACGGATCCACTGAAGCCGGTCTCCTTCCACATCGGCATGAGTTCGAAGCAGATTTTGGAATCTTGCAAGTAAGTATTACATCATTTCATGTCTTCAGAAGGCATATCACCTATGCGCTTTACTAACGTCTACTTACCATTGCAGGGAGAACGCTGGCCCTCCTACGGCGTGGTCAGTACTAGGCGACGGGTGCGGGCCGCCGGAGCCCCCTCCGGTACCACCACCGCGCCTGTCTCCTGAACAGTTGGCGCCGCCGGCGCCTTTCGTTTACGTGGAGTCCAAGCGAGATGCATTCTCGCCACAGCTGCAAGACTTCTGTCTAAAGCATCCTATCGCTGTAGTGCGAGGCCTCACTGCGGCGCTGAAGCTTGACCTCGGGCTGTTCTCCACTAAGACTCTAGTGGAGGCGTGGCCCGACCATGCCGTGGAAGTGCGCACGCAACTCATGCAGTCGGCCGACGAGAACTGGGACCCCACCGGCCGCCGCCGCGTCTGGGCCTGCGCCTCGCACCGCTCGCACACCACCGTGCGCAAGTACGCGCAGTACCAGGCCGGCTCCTTCCAGGAGTCTCTGCGCGAGGAGCGCGAGCGAGGCGGCGCCAACACCGCGCCCGGCGGCGGCGCGCTGTCCGACTCCGACGGCCGCGAGTCCGGCTCGGGGCCGGTCAAGCGTCGCCGAGCTGCACGAATGCTGCGCTTTGGGACCAACGTAGATCTTTCAGACGAGCGAAAGTGGCGTCCTCAACTCACCGAGCTACAGAAGTTACCAGCGTTCGCACGTGTCGCGTCAGCTGCCAATATGCTATCACACGTAGGGCACGTTATTTTGGGCATGAATACGGTACAATTGTACATGAAAGTACCGGGCAGTCGCACGCCCGGTCATCAAGAGAATAACAACTTCTGTTCGATCAACATTAACATCGGACCAGGCGATTGCGAATGGTTCGGTGTGCCCGACGCGTATTGGGGTGGAGTGCGCGACCTGTGCGAGAGGCATGGCTTGTCGTACTTACACGGGTCATGGTGGCCCGACCCCGAGGAGCTACGTGCGCACGGAGTGCCCGTGTATCGCTTCACGCAGCGACCGGGAGACTTGGTGTGGGTCAACGCGGGCTGCGTGCACTGGGTGCAGGCCACCGGCTGGTGCAACAACATCGCGTGGAACGTCGGCCCGCTCACTGCGCGCCAGTACTCACTGGCGCTGGAGCGGTACGAGTGGAACAAGGTGCAGAACTTCAAGTCCATCGTGCCCATGGTGCACCTGACATGGAACCTGGCGCGCAACATCCGCGTATCGGACCCACGCCTGCACCGCGCCATGCGGACGTGTCTGCTGCAGACACTGCGCGCCGCGGCCGGCACGCTGGCGGCCGTGCGCGCGCGCAACGTGCCGGTGCGCTTCCACGGGCGCGCGCGCGGCGAGGCCAGCCACTACTGCGGCGCGTGCGAGCGCGAGGTGTGGCACGCGCTGCTGGTGCGCGAGCACGAGCGGCGCCACGTGGTGCACTGCCTGGCGTGCGCGCGCCGCGCCGCGCCCAGCCTGGCGGGTTTCCTGTGTCTGGAGGAGCACCACATGGACGAGCTGGCGCAGGTGTACGACGCGTTCACGCTGCACCGGCCGGCGCCGGCGGCGGCGCACGCGGCGGCGGGCGTGCCGGTGGCGGTGCCGGACTGAGCGCGCTGGGCCCCGCGCGGTCAATGCTCGGGACTGCAGGCGGCGCGCCCCGCGTGGCGGCCGAGCCGGGTGACGACGGCGTACCTGTATTTATTTCGTGTGCGAGTGTATGATAGTTTCGGTTTATGACCAGGTATTTTTATACGACGTTTAGTTTCTGTGCGTCCGGAGGTCGATGTAAACGAAGATTATCTCGAGCCACACTTGTACTCGATCGGCACTTCACATTTTAGACAGTATTAGAAGCTAGCTAATTCCGACGATTATATAGGTAATTTTTGACGACGCACGAAGGTGTCATTGTTGACCAAGTTATAATAAATTGTAACAGATGCACGTGATCTATTTTTACTACGATGCGCCTGAATCTAAAATTGTTGTATGATGATGACTTGATGAAATATTTTTGGTGATAAATGTAATTTTGTAATACGGAATCTTATACAGTTTACACGCTCCTCGATCACTTTTGTAATTGTGCGAGATATTTGATATATGAAGTCAATTGTATCGGCGACGACTAGCCGGTGTAGTAGAACGTACGTATAATGTTATCGGCGGCTGGGGCGGCCTCGACTCGTACCATGATAACGTAGAGTAGCGACTAGAGTGCAGAGTGCTAGCTAGGAATGCAATGTGCGCAGGAACAGAAGGTCGCCCGCGAAGGTGTCAAGTGCTCACGTGTTCACCATCGTATATAAATGTCTTATTTTTGTATAGAAGCGTATTTATTTATTTTTATCGTACAGTGACCTTAGTTTGATTTTTTAGACAGTCTTAGCAAATAGTAGTATTAAGTATAACTGCACGTAAGGAGAGCCTACGTTTTAGTAGGGTCTGGAGAATAGTGCTGCGATGTCCCAAAGAATGTTATAATGTACTTGAGTAGGCAAATGGAAATTGTATGATCAATTTATTGATATTATTGTCGACATTTCTTGAATATATCTGACATATTTGGGATCTGACATTAAAACAAATATTTTATTTTAGCAAGTTGACTTTATTATTTGATGAAATTGGACTGTATTAAAGTAAGCATAATTAAAATGTTGTTTCTTGGATTGATGTAAAGTAGGACAACTCGCGTCTGACACTTGCTTGTTTGTTGTTTATCTTGAAGGTTTATTGATGTTTTTGTGGCGTTTCATGTTGATGATTAATTTTTAAGTGTCAGAAGCGAGTATGGTGTAGAGAATATGGAAGTGTTGGTCGGATTATGTATAGCGATGCCGAAATATTTATAAGTAATAATAATAACATCACTGCCATGTATGACCTTACTGTTTATACTGTAAATTACATTTTTAATAAAGAAGTTTAAGTAAGATTATTTGTGTTTACTTTTTTATATACTAAAACTAATCAACTCACAATTTTTTTTTTGGTAACCATTATATAACACTAAAAAGGTGGCCCTGATAAGACCAATTCTAAGGGTGCTTTTCAACCAGAGATGTAGATGTGTTTGGCATCCACGAATCATATTCATCGGTACACATAGCATGTGGAAACGGATTCAACTAAGATATGTTTGCTATGTATGCGTTGCGCCCTCGGCACTCCCCTACTTTCGTTCTGCTGGGTATCTCCTTGCGCAGATACTTTCATTTTCATAGCACATCTTACTCGCACCAATACCTAGCTTAGTATCAGTGGAAAGAGTCACATAGTTTGACAGCTTAGCTACATCATCGCAGCATAGCTACATAGCACATCTCTGGTGAAATAGCACCCTAAGTATCCCCAACGGCAATTGATTCCTTATCAGTACATTGCACCAGAAGAAATACTTAAGACTATCGATGAATAAAAGCCTAGTCCAGGCCAAGATCACTCGGACTGCATTCCTCTCAAACATCAAGTACATCGTTACGGGAGATAAGAGACTTGTGGACATGACCACGACTATTCAACCTCTGGTACGGTCCAGTAACTATTCTGCCATTGATAAGTTGACGGGTAAAAAAGTTATTACCTTTTCACTCACAATATTTTGGTGTGAATCGAAGGAATCGAAGTTAAAAAGAGAGTATTTTGCTTACTTCACGATTTAGTAAAACAAAGATTTAACTGGTTTTTTTTAAGGGGGAAAATCATCTAATGATTCCCTCCCGCCTGGGTGAGGCGGGAGGGATTGTCAAGACTCTTACTGACTAAAAACCACCCCGTTCCTTCTTCTGCACGTCGAGCCGGAGCCCCGGTTACCCGTTACGTTCTCCGCGACTCCGAATCGGCATCGGCCCCATTGGGCCCCATCTGTGGTGGTCTGATGGCTCTTTGAGGCGCGCGCGGAACGCAACGCGCCGTACGCTCAGGTAGATTTAACTGTTTACAGTTCCAGTAACCAAAGTAATTTGCGTTTTTAAAAAAATAAATCAAAACTTTCTTTCATTTAGTAGTAGGAAAGTATTAGATAAGTAGATAGTAAGAAAAATACGTCATATTTATTTCGAAGTACTAAGAGTTCCTTCCAACAAAGAAAAATATTATTAACTTTGTAAATTGCAATTCGTCAAGCATAAATGCCATTGTCCAATTGGTTAGTAAAACTAGCAGCATTAGTTTATCTTAAGCTTGACTTTTTTGCTAAATAAATTATGTAAGCAAAATGTTTTATTTAGATTTTTTTCAATACCTAATGAAAACATCCCATATCTTACATTGCATACTGACGGAAACAAGCAACGGCCGCTTTTATCCAAGTTCACACTCTCACAGTGGACGGAGAGGCAATCGTGAACATCTAATCCATCTTTAGTTAGTTTATTGGCTACGTGTTCAGGGTCAGGCTCCTGTATAGGTATATTATTTTACTCTGTGGGGTCAGGATAAGTATGTAGGTAACCAGTCAGTTAAGTCTCCAAAAAAATAAAAATGATTTTCCAAAATATTTTATTTAAATCACATAATACATTATTTTAAATACATCTTTGTGTTTAATAATAATGATAGCTCAGTAACATATTTGCATAAACTATATTTACGATGATGTTTAACATTATATGTCAATGGAATATTGCATTAATAATATATTTATTTAATTCTAATCAGTGATACACAAGCATATAATTTAGAACAGTGCTGGAAAATTCTAATGTGTTCATTAAATTTTACAGTATTGGTGCTGCTATACCAACACGAACAACATTCTCCATTATTTAATAAAATTGCTCAACTTTTGTTGATATATTTTCCTATTTAGTCCTTTTATAAAATCAGTCCAGCCGAGTGATGACACCTCGGTACAGTCAGTTTGAAATCTAACTATTGAGTTTATATTTTCTGCTATTATTGCCTAACGAATAGGAGTTACAGATCTTGTAGGCGAAACTCTTTTCTCCCCAGTGAGGAGTCAAACCCTTACTTTCTGTGCACTTTTGTGACACTACACAAACTCTCTATGGAGAGGAATAATTTTAAAGCATCAAACTTTTATCACTTAACTTAGTAAAAGATTCGAGTCTAACATAACAGTCTTAAAGTAGTCTACGCTTTACAAGATGATGTGATGTTGTATGTACATTTTCTTTATAAAATTACTCGACTACATTAATCTAAAATTATTTAAGTAAGCAATCATAGCACCTATCTGTTATTTATTACTTTATTGTAAACATATAATAAAACATTTAAACTATGACGCAGAGAGCTTCAATCAATTTGTGCGACGTTTGCATGCATGCTCCGACGTTATATGTATATGATATTTAGCAAAATACGATTTGATATAAAAATAAGACTCCTGTGTCTCGACTACAGTTTGGCATGGTCAATTGCACAGCAACATTATCCTTACTTTCAACATAATATTAACTAATCTCATGCTTACACACATTAAACGAGATTTACGGCCTTCACTTCTAAATAGAGATTTGGTGAAGACTAGTGATATAATAATATATAAAAATTATAAAATAACTTTATTGGAAATTAGATCACAATTTTGCAATAGCATTCCAACCAAAACGTGCCTTTGGTAAATAATTACAAATATCCTATCACTTTTACGTGGATAAATCATTATAATAAAATGGAATCGTAATAAATGCGTACATAATTATATAATTTTGAAAAAATTAATGTCCTTGGTACGCTGGGATCACGGTACACAAGTCACAAGAAATATATGACGATAAGAATTTTAGTATGGCCATGGCTGAGGGTAACGTGATCCCGTGGACTATTGCTTTACATTAAGCTCTATCAATTCCTACTGATCGTCTCCTTGCATTACAATGTGACTCAATACCTCAATCATACGAAGATGGAAGAATTGGGTCGTACGAGTACGTATTTTGTAATGTCGAGTCTGGGGTCAGTGGGTGTTAGTTGGCCTCATGACGCTCCGTCTCTTAGAACAGGTTTGCGCAGTAACAGCGCTGAGTCAGCCGATACTATTGGGAGCTCGTTGCTGCAGTGGTACTTGATTAGATGTGGTACGCTTTCAAACACTCGATCCTTCGTTCGTACCTAGTAGAAATATGAATTGTTTATTTTATATTTATATTGCGCAAAGTAATTTTGAAAATAAATTAGCTTTGAAGGTAAAAAGGGGAAAAGTGTAATATATTTGGCTGGTGGAAAATACAGGTTTAATTTATATGTAAAAATATGACTTTACACTTGAAAACTGGGACAAAACACTTCGCAAAGTAAAATACACTATGTAAAAAGGCCGTAAAGCGCAATATTGTGAGTATTAATCATCAATATCAATATTTTGCCATTGTTGGCCATTGTTATTATGAATAAAGATTTATTTATTTATTAAGAAAAACAACATACCACTCCATTCGGGTCGACGAGTAGCAAGTGCTTGTGGCTGCCCTTCCTGGCCCCCGTCAGCACGAACTGTCCAGGACACGCCGCTGACTCACGTACTAGGAACTCTCCGTCTTCTACCACTAGCTGTCGAATTAAAAATGAAGAAATTGGTTATTTTACACATGATATCACTATATCATTCACTAATGAGAACTTTAAAGTGAATGTTGGATGTCCATATAATAATTTAAGATGAAAAGAGATGAATCTTTACTGACTTAAACTGTCAAACACCAAGCGGTAACCGGTGACCGCAACCTATTCTTCTTTAATTGTGTCTATAATGACGGTACTCAACGAGTTAATTTCACTGCAACAGCTGATGTATGTAAAGTGTTAAACTATGGACCTCCTCTACATATGTATAAGAGGGGTTTGCCATAATTTCCATGATTGGAAGCGGGTTGGCTTTTAGAGTGTTATTGCCTGGTGTCAGTTAATTGTGTCCCTTAATTGACTCTAACCATACCCAAAGAGTGGGGGTCACGACAAATACTAATCTGTCCTCTCCTGAATGATATGAATTAGAAAAATTCTATTAATATTATAACAATGTTTATTGCACCTTTTCAGCAGTAGTCCTAGAAATAGGTCCATGGAACCACGGTTCCCGGGCTAGTAACGCGGCCTGCGCCTGCGCAGACAGTGGCTCGGCAGGCACGTCATTGGGTGACGATACTGACGCCGTCGACGATGACGACGCTGCTGATGATGATACTGGCGCAGCTGTGAACGGTTCTGTGGAGAAAACGTAGTTTTGAATGAGAATAAGAATTTTCTATTTTTGTTATAATCAAGATGAAAAGTAGAACTAGGGTCTTACTTTGACGATATTCGTGGATTGGAATGACTTTCAAAAAGTTAGTTCCTAGTATAAAATGTGTAGAACTCTTTGGTAGAAATTCGAAATCAAACTTAACATGTCCAAAAAATAAGGTCTCAATTAGTATAACAATAAAATATGAGGTACAATACTGACGCATATCGAAGATGTCGGTATGATGGTTTGGCAACAGCGCAGTGGGCGGTGTGCGAGGTGGAGGGGTCTGGTTCACGTAATGCCTTACACTCTCCTCACATCTGAAAACATATACAGATAATTTAAAAACATAAGTGATGTCATTCTCTGATGACGTAAGAGGTCATGAATGCTGGTTGAGGTGATAAAGTAGAAAAAAAAGGTTTACAGCAGAAACTTGCACAAAAACTACCTTTAATCTTAGGTAGGATTTTATTAAAATGAATATTTGTGATTACAGTATCATTACAGTGAATGTAAAAATATATATATATATGTAATATTAGTTTGTCAAGGAAAACACACCGACCAATACTAAGAGTGGGAACTAATTCAACTCTCGCGCATGTTTGTCCAAAGAGGTAGCTGACCAATTGAATGACAGCTAAAAATTCTGTGTTTGTGGACTTTGTGGTCTGTGTATGGTTTAATAGAAATCAAGCGATTGACTAAATTAGTACCTAACGTTACCGTTATGTAGCTATTAGTATATATATATATATATATATACCTAAGTTCTTTAGTAACTTTCATATAAATGAAAAGACTATACTAGTTTCCTTATTGATCGTGGCTCTTACCTTAACAAAATCACATTGATTGAGTCATCCTAAGACGTATAAGTTTTCCGAGAAAGTGAATCAATAGTGTATTATGTACATACACATACAATAATCGTTCGAATGACTTTTTTACAGTGTAACAGATAAAAATGAATGTTACATGATTCATATTCTGGGAATGTTTTTAATATTTGTTTGTATCGAATTTTGGGGTATGATTAGTGAAGTGATTTGATCCGTGTAGAAGTCATCATACGAGTATTTCCTGGATGGTATTTATGATAAGAGTGACTGATGACTGTTCGCTTAATTAATGGACGGGTAATAAAAAAATATTCAGAAATTTCATTGACTTTGTTGTGTCATACCTCAACTGAAATTCAAATACTTAATTGACGAATATGATTTAAATACATAAAACGCGGTGACATAAAATCATAAAAAATATATACATACGGAAGAATACATTTTAATGTTAAGAAGGGCAGAAGGATGTGTGGAACACTGTTAAATTAAACATTTACAATAATACCAAGCAGTTTTTTGACAGACTTTACATAATGTTCAAGTAGGTATATCTTCTACCATTCTACACATTATAGTTTAGCACCTAAACGATTTTTTTACGTTGAAACGGTTGGTCTAGCCATATAATTATTTATTTTGTTATTCAAAGCATGGTGATTACAGTAGGACCTCCTCTACAAAAGAAAAGAGCTTTTCTTACGTAGTCGTAGCCCATGGTCCATCAGCGGACCATCACTACTGGCTGTTGACATTGACTTAATTATTCAGAGTGCCGAGGTATAACTATGTAGTGTATTTTATACTTACGAAGATATAGGAGCTAGCGAGGCGAGTGACGCGAGAGGCGGGGGCGGGGGGTGTCTGTACGAGGTGGTGGTCTCCGGCGGCGTCTTGTCTGGCATGTCGTTGTAGTACTCGCGGTCGTCCGGCGCCACGCCGGTCGTAGCGCCACATAGTCCACGACCTCCGTTTAGATTTAACCTGGAAAATGCATTAACAAATAAATTAATACTTAGTTTAAAGTCTTTATTTTACATAATCTTTCGGTGATCCATCTAGAGAAAATACTTACTTACGTGAATTATTCGAGAAAAGCTCTACTAGTTTCGAGTCACGCTGGGACTCTTATGCATGAGGAGAAAGCGCGGCAGGCCGACGGCAGATAACCGACTCTTAATTAGCTTTTCTCAAACAATTGTAAGCCTTAATAGAGTTCCTTTTAATATATAACTATAAAATTAAGAATTTATAGTTAAACATACTCAGTGATAGTCAATTTTACATTATCTACATAACAAAGGTTAGCTCATACTAAAGATGATTATAGATTTGAACTCTTTAAATTTGAAAGCCAGATCATTGTTTACGAAAAAAAATGTATAATGAATAGCTTATTCAATTTCTATGCACCAGATGATCCAGCTATTATTTCTGTTGTTAACAATACACTCCAAAAAGCATAATTGATGCAACTTCATATTGTGCAATACAACTGTAGTCTACTATAAAAGAATTAAATTATATCATTGCAAATAGAGCAATGAATCATGCAATATTTACTTGACTCATCTTCATTGAATAAATGTTTTGAACTTACACTTATATTACAAATGGTGACAAATTTATATTATTTTTAGTGTGAACTAATATTATGTTTCAGATGTTATAGCTGTGTAAATGACCTTTAAAAACAATGAACGGTGGAACATTGTTCTTTCTACAGATCTATGTTTAGATATGTTTCATAGAATGATACAGCGATAATTTCAACAGACAACTTTGGTTCCTTAAATTTTCTAATTAAATATTATATAGTTCACTTTGTTTTAACTCCCATTGAACATATTTAACCCTTTTCCTGTTAGTTATCGAAGAATTACTAGACAAATAAAATTTTGGTTCTTAAAATGTTCAACAAATGCGCTGATTTCCTTTTATAAGTCATTGAATTTTAAATTCGACAAGTAAGCCAAACATACTTTTTCCTGCCAGTTATTAAAGAATAACGAGGTATTAGGTATATTCAAACTTTAGTATGTGTTTTCACACAAATAACATATAAATAATAATGATTCAAGTACATGAGGAAATAGCTTTCAATTGTAATTATTTACCCGGTAACAAAAAGGCATGGTATTTCTATGAGGAAAATAAAATTATAATAATACTTACGATGAGGGTTTCGTCAAAAATTCTTTAAAACGGAGTTCAAACGCTTGTCCTATGGTTGCTATGACGTCTTGTGCTAGTCTACCTCCACACTCTAGTACGTAACATGCTCTCCACTCTGCGGGGGGCACTGACTTGGCTACATAAGCTACAAAGTCCAAAGAGTCTGTATCTCCTCCTGAGGCGAATGACACTCGAGGCATATCATGACGAGCTATTGTCTCTCCACCTTCAAGTGCGGCTAATGTTATTGCTTTAGATGATATGGTTAGTGCCACATTAGCTCCGGAGTGCGCCATTCGTGGACGTGCGGCCAGTGCTCTCACTGCAGCCTGACAGACTCTGCGCTTCTTGTCCGCTGACCTTAAACCAGCTGCAGCACATACTCTTGCAATACATTCTCTGAAACATAAAAAAAATGCAATTAATTTTATAGGCTATGCAGTAAAAGTGCTCCTTTCTGTATCACGCTAAGATCTGAGTGGTCGATATTACCTGTGGCATTAAGTCTACCTAATGTATAAATTATAAACAAACAAAAACAAACTGAACACTTTCTTAATAGTTATGTAGAAAATAGATATTTGTTTTATTCCAAAGAAACAAACAGCCATACCATATAATAAGAGATCATAATAGCACATTAAGACATTGTCTTAAATTACAACAACAATAGTACAATACACTAACAAATAAATTATTTAAAATGTTGCAATCTGAAGTATTGTTTCCATTTCAATACTAGGTAGAGACAAGATTAAACATACAAATAAATAAAAATACTTATGATAGATAAAGAATAAATCATGAACAACAGTTTTACTACCTGTGGTTAACTGTTGGTAAATTGAATTGGTGGATACTTTCGACATATAATATTCCAATGAAATGTGTCATTTAGCGAATAACATAAACTCCATACAATTAATATCGAAAATTGATACTAATAAGATTGTTTATGTTGTCCAAAAGATTTTAATAATCTTAAGACTATATTGTTGACTATACTTAAAGAAAAATGTACTAAAATATAAGAAACAAATATAGTATTAGAGCTCAGTAAAGGAACTTTAAATTAAAATTGACTGGGGCAGGATGTAGTGGCATAGTTGGGAGCACATGAACAATATGCTCAAGGTTGATGGTAACTTCTTTCAATACTGTAAGCATTGTTCTTTATATATTTCGTAGTATAGGTACTTCTATAAACTGTTGTGATTTACTTTATTATGGCTTCACCTAGGGTTGTAAGAAATTGCTTTGTGCTGACATTGCACAATCTCTTATTTTAAAATTGTCTTAAAGTATACAAATAATAACTTCTTTTTATGGCATTTTTTACTTACTTTGCTACTTGAGATCTTGTTTCGAAGTCAAGCTTCTTCATGGAAGTTAGAACTTCCATGCATCCAATATACTGAAAAAGAAGGATAAATAAAATTAAAAGTAGATCTACAAAATGCATAAGTATTAAGTAACTTCACACATAACTCTTTCTTGGCTGTACCAAATTGGATAATTCAGTTTATTTTAATTTCATTATTAGAAACTGAATTACCTAATTCACTCAAGAAAACACAGGATAAGTAGTTAGTTATTATGAAAATAAATTATTTAGTATACAACTTAAGAATATTTATAAGTAATTGTAACAATCAAAACTTTCTTTTAGTAAAAGAGATGAGAATAGAATACTCCCTAAACTAATTAAAGAGGTTTTGTAACACTACAGTCTAGGACCAATTCGAAAGTCATGAACTAGAATGTCCTCTATAGGGAAGTGCTACAGTTACATTGAACATTTACTATTATTTACAAATGATGACATAGTAGCATGCAATGTGTATCAACAAGTTACTACAATTTGTTACTATTGCCATAACAGTTTTACATACTACTCAATAACAATAGTGAGTAAATACTACCACTGTTGCATGTGACCATGTTACAAATACTTTAAATTCTTTCGCACATCAACTAAATTCTGTCATTCGTATGTTTTTGGGACAAAACAAGCTGCTCTCATTTTGTTGGCCTAAAATTTTTCGTGAAGTGATTAGTTATTCTCTGTAGGAGACAATATTGAGACTGTTATTATGTTGTTGAAAGAATGACACCAATACTTCAGGATAAGATGCTCACCCTGACTGCGTATGTGATTCCATCGCTGGCCAGTACCGAGTCAGGGTGCAGCCAACCCCGCGCCGGTTTCGCAACAAAGGTACTGTCAGTCATCTCCAACACAACAGGAACGCAGCACTACGTACAATTCAATGTTATTCTTCACACTTCACCCACTTCCAGTTATTTAAAAGGCGCTTTCATTATGATTCAGCTGATTAATTCACTACTGCCGATGTAAATCACCAGTTATCTCGGATGTTTTGCCACTAAAGTTCACAATATTATTGATTTATTTGTCACCTTAATTAATTACTCGATTGTTATTGCTTTGTGTAAATAAGTAAAAGCGTGGGAATACAGTACGACAATAAAGTAAAAAACATTTATCGTTAGAACATCAGCAAAGTTATAACTTTTTTGACAGTAGGAGTGAGTGAATGAAAAGTCATGAGCAAAATGAGCAATGGCGTTGACTGAATGAATAAATGAATGAATGACTGTGAACGACTTTGCAGTAGATTGAATAAAGATTGAATGGGACTGTATTTCATAGATAAAATAACTACTAACGAAGAACTCGCGAGCAAAGTTTTGGTTTTGATACACTCGAATGCAAAAGTTTTAAATAAATATTTTTTAATATCTATTGTAACTAACGATTTTCGGTATTAGATGCTTAAACATCAGAAAACCAGCTTTGTCTGTCACGGATCTGTTGACATGTTTCTTTAGTAGGTACATTTTTGTTTTAAAAGTTAGAGTTAGTTTTAAAGTACATATATGTTCGTTAAAAACAATTTTAATAATTTTGACCGAATAACCAGTCAACGTCGTTGTGACCAGTTACACTTATTAAAATCTAGAACTGCACTATACAGGAACAGTATCTTTGCAATGGCTCCAAAAATTTATAATAAACTGCCTAAATATATAAGAAATGAAAATAATATTAGACTTTTTAAACGTAAACTGACATTATTTTTAATTGACAAGACATATTATTCTATTGACTTATTTCTAAATGATAAATATTTGACATACCATCATGATTTTTATATACTTGTTTAATTTTAATATATTAATAATGCTTGGTACCTGCCTAACTTAATAACTATTTGTACACCAATTTTATTGGTAGAACATAGAGATGCTATTAATGTATGTTAAATACCCTTCTGTATAACCTGTGTTCACAAATAAATTGATTTGATTTGATTTGATTTGATTTATAAGTATAATAATTAAAAACTCCAATATCCATACCTAGTATATTTCTTACTTTTTGTATAAACTAGTAGATAAGTAGATCGTCACTATCAGTCATCATCATCGATCATCAGCTACTGCTAAACACGGCCCTTCCTTACACCCCTAGGGCTTGCAGGCAGTAAATAGATGCTTGATTCGAAATATACCACTGTTAATGCAATGGTAGAAACTTTCAAGCCACGAACATTTAGTTTGAAAGCGGTTCAAGTCTCACAGTCTCTTAGCTAAGTCTTAGTGGTTGAAAACTTTTGCACACATAATAAGTACTTACTTAACTATCGTTGTTAGCCGGACCGTCCAGTTGACTCGGACGATCTGGCCCACCCTGATGATAAGTAAATTATTTATGTGCATAATTCGAAGGGGCATATTTCTACTTCGGGCATAATTTCAATGCTTTGCAAACCAAAGAAAACAAAAAATGAGAATTCCAATAAGTAGGTCTTGTAGATAATTCCTAGTCGACTTTCAATCATACAATAAATAATGAAGAAAGATATCGCAGAAAATACTAGGATAACATTATATTAATACTTAATAATTGAACGCAATCTATTTATCATCCCTCACGCGAGATACAATCTCCCGTTTTCATCCGTCCGTATCCACTGGGAATATGATATTATAAATATCTTATATATGTACACAACGTAATGTATTATGGTAGCTTTTTGTTTTTTGTTCCTAGAATAATACTTGGATACAGTGGGATATGGGATAATTACAGGGTGGCAAGTCGACAAATCGATGTAAGATGTCACGAGTCTCGAGCCGGGAGGGGCTCCAGTTTAGAGATTTTCATCTGACTATTTTTTTTTAAGAAAGGCTCATCTAATGAATTTGCCACGGGCTCCGAACGATATAGTTACGCCACTGCTTAGGTAAGACTTGATATTATAGGATCGTAAATCGTGAGAGTGGAGTTCTTGTCTATCGCAGAGGCGTAGCGTGGCTGGACGAAGCCTCGTATAAAAAATTCTTTGGGGCCCTTATGAAGTTTAGAGAGTAATCAATTAATTCAAATGTGGGAGAGTCACGCTTCGGCACGGATGGGCCGGCTCGATCGGAGTGATATCACGGCCTCACAGAAAACCGACGTAAAACAACGCTTGCATTGTGTTTCGGCGTGTGAGTGAGGTAGGTAGGCCCAATTACCCCCCCCCCCCCCCAGTCTCCCCAATCCCCGAATCCTCCGCAATCCTCTAATTCCCAATTCAGGTGAACCGTCTGTTCGTTTACCGGTTTATGCCATAAAAAAAACACAAGAGAAAAAAATGTGATAATTTGTTTGATAATCGGAAAACTTTCCAAGCCAAATTATCGGACTATGATTACTTTAGTTTTTCTACAGCTTCTGCCAGCCTTTGAACGCAAGCTTTACGCGGAAAAAAGTTTATTTTGACTTTTATAATTACTGAAATGAAATAAACATTGGAAAGTTTTTATTTATTATTACTTCTGTTGGGGCCATCTTGAAGTCCGGGGACCCCGTATACCTGATACGGCAGATACGGCGCTAGCTACGCCGCTGGTGTATAGGAAAGAAATTCGATAGGTTAATAATTTAGCTGGTGGATATTCTAGAATGGGTAGGTGACTAAAAGTTTCCTGGTAACGTGATGTAACAAAATATTGTGTAGGTTTTAAACTGATAAAGCTATGTAGGCATTAAAAATGGAAAGCCATGTAAAATCTGATCAATTTCTTGGGATTATCGCAAAGACAGATTAATCGAGAGCGCATACCTACTGAAGTACTGACTATCAGATACAGTTATATTTTTTTTATAGTCTCACCAACGTTATTATTAGTTTAGTAGAAACATCTTTAGTTTTGTTAAGCTCTTGTTTTATAGTCGCTAAAACAACCCCGTTCTTTAGGCACGTGCCCAGTTTTCCTTAAGGATAATTCGCTACAGGATTAGGGCATTCAACCAGCGAGTAGAATATAAGCAAGTTTATTCTTTGTCTAGTATCACGCCATGCAGGCTATTGTTAGGTCCTTTATGTTCAATGGTTCATGTCACCTATTTCGGTTCATTGCTTTCCTGACCCTCGATTGCGTCTATGTCATGGCATCGTACTTAATATTCTAGTGAATAAAATCCGCAACGGTAGCCACTTCCATTTTCTCGTAGTCATTTTATTTTTTCATTAATCACTGGTTTGCTGGACGTGAGCTTGACGGCTGACTTGCTGAGTAAGTTCGTATAAAAAAGGTACATAATATCTTGCTCCAATTTAATGATTACCAATTAGACGAAACCTTTTTAATTGCTAAATATTTGCTACTGGTATATTTTGTGCGAGTTTCGTTATTTTCAATACAAAATTGTGAGTTTCAAACAGCATTATTTGGCATGATTTTAATAAATCACTGTCTGTTGATATTTATTTAGGTACTAGGCGACCCGGCAAACTTTGTTCCGCCTAAAATTTTTTCTCTCTCCTTTTAAACTGTGACTGCACGGTTGGTGCGGTGGCTGGGCAACCGGCTGCCGTGCAACGTGTCGCGGGTTCGATTCCCGCACGGGACAACACTTTGTGTGATCCACAAATTGTTGTTTCGGGTCTGGGTGTCAAATTGTATGTTTGTAAACGCACCCACGACACAGGAGAAAATCCTAGTGTGGGGCAACGTTTTTTAACAGACTACGTTTTTTAACAGACTAAACTTTCTCTGGACTTCCACAAACATTTCAAGACTTAAATTAGCCCAATCGGATCAGTCGTTCTCGAGTTTTAGCGAGACTAACGAACGGAAATTCATTTTTATTTATATTTAGATTAGATAGATTTGATGATTAAGAAAATTATGATAGAGATTGATAGAAAATAAACCGCGTTGCAGTTATAAACCTGAACTTTTTGTTTAACTGTGATCTCTAATTTCTAATCCACCTGTAAGGGAGGTAGTGAGACACTTGTGGTCCTTACTCTATTAACCTTCTTTACAGTCTAGCTAGGATTACGGATTGTTGAAAATAATGATTCAATAAAGTATACAAGCGAGTACTTAGGTATTTATCCGATTCATCGATTTGCATCTAGCACATTTAATTCAATGGTTTTAATGGACAATGAAATATTTACCAAAATACATAAATTACGATTGTTTAACTTCTTGTAAGTATATAAATGAAATAATGTTTGTTGTGAACTGAGGACCGATTATTTCAACGCCAGATAATTTCACCGGAAAAATAATTTTGAATATTTGACAATTCTTCCATATTAAAAACTGTTAAATGTCAACTTTATTCTAGGTACGATTAAAAGATATCTATTGATCACTATTGATTGAAAGATCGGCCCTTATTTTGTATCTTTTAAACTTAAGTCAGTTTATTTTCTTTATCGGTTGGCTAGTACTAAACATTTTCATGGCTATTAATTTTGTTTTTTGCTATTAATAGACATGTCTAACATTTTATAGTTAACAGACGTACATTTGTAAAATTCTTGCTGAAAGATTAATGGTAGGTAGGTAATTAACTTTACCGGCTTCATTATTAAAAAACGAATTTGCGCACCCTAATTTGACTCGTGCACGTGCCGTCGATTTCCTGACAGATAAAAAAATACAGAAAATTAGGGCACATCCTGAAAATTACGATTGCTCATTGCTGTGACAAAATCCGCCACGTAGCTAAATTATAATAATTTATGAAATGACAATTATCATAGCTACCCATGAGATAGATAAGCACTCAAATTATAACAGAAAGATAATACAAAGACTTGAGGAATTTAAAGTATGTGTAAAATCCAGCTCTTACATCAAAGCAGCTTTGCTTCCGACACTAAGTTATTCGCAACAGACATTCCTAAAACAAAGTGCCT